GGATGGCCCCACACCCACTTGTGGCAGATAAAAATCGGGAGGGATATCTTAATAGCGGAGGTCTCCCCTGAAGGGTGAGGCCCCTGAGCCACTGCCAGGAAGAGAAGTCCGCATAACTTTTGACTGTAAAAACCAGCAGGGATTGTGCCTGAGAGAGGGAGATGGAGGGCTTCTGGACTTCCAGGCAGATCCTCTTCAAGGGCCCAGGCATGGACTTACTCTGATACACTCCCTCTGAGCTCCAGCACTGGGACAGCAGCTCAAAAGTCACCAGGGACATACAGGGAGGAATTGAATTGTCTGGCATCATGCCAAGAGCTGGGATGGGCAGCAGTCTGACAGACAAAAAAGCTGGCAGAAGCCACTGTTCCTTTTCTAAGCCCTCCCCCAACTAAGCTGATAGGTGAGCACCATATCTCAGTACCCATCAACCTGGCTCATACTGTTTGCCCCACCCTGTTGATTCCCTGAGAACCTGCCCAACCCAATTTGTGGGCTCACCCAAGCTGTTTCTATGGCTTGTCTTGGCTAACACTTCAGACTTCCCTAAAATCTCTCAAACAAGTAATCTCTGGCCTCAGCATGCCCAGTACCTCTTGCTAAGTGGCCCTAGGCCCAGCAGTAGCAGCAGCCAGCCTTGGTTCACAGCCTGGCCTCACCTGGGCACCTCCAAGCCCAGCACAAGTAGCATCCATCTGCAGATCGCTTTGTAGTTATGCCGGGAGGCCACAGGCAGAATACAGATGGTGATTAACCTTGGCCTGCACCTCCTGGGATGTCCCAGAGCCAGTGCACGTAGTGGACAGCTTCAGACCATGTCAAAGCACTATTCAACCACCTCCACAAGTGACACACTCAAGGGGAAGACTCAGTGGGCACCAGAGTCCTGCTGAAGTAAGTCCTGTTCTGTGAGGTAAGCCCCTGCACAGCTGATCTTCCACAGTGGTTGGAAGTTGGTTGTCACAGCAAGTCCTTATAGCTTATTGATCAACCTGGGGGTAAATCCCTCCCATTGATATGCCAACAGCAATCAAAGCTCAACTACAAGAGAAAGGTGTACACAGTCCACACAGGGGAGCACGAATGGAGTGCCCAGCTTGGATGATTGAGGAATGTGTGCCACTGGACCCTACAGAATAACTACTACATAAGACCACTCTACCAAGCCTGGGAGATGTAGCAGTTCTACAAAATTCATAGAAACAAACACAGGGAGGCTGCCAAAATGAGGAGGCAAAGAAACATGCCCCAAATAGAAGAACAGAACAAAACTCTAGAAAAAGAACTAAACAAAATGGAAACAAGCAATCTACTAGAGGCAAAGTTCAAAACACTGCTTATTAGGATGCTCAAGGAATTTAGTGAGAACTTCAACAGCATAAAGGAGGACATGGAAACCATAACAAAGAGCCAGTCAGAAATGAAGAATACACTAAGTTAAATGAATAATAATTTACAGGAAAACAACAGTAGAGTAGATGAAGCCAAGAATCAAATAAACCATTTGGAATATGAGGAAGCAAAAGACACCCAATCAGAACAGCAAAAAGAAAAAAGAACTCCCACAAAATGAAGATAATGTAAGGAGCCTCTGGGATAACTTCAAGTGTACCAACGTAAGTGTCATAGGAGGCGCTGGAAGGTGAAGAGAAAGAGCAAGAAATTGAAAACCCACTTGAAAAAATAATGACAGAAAACTTCCCTAACCTGGTGAATGAAACAGACATACAAATCCAGGAAGTGCAGAGAGTCCCAAACAAGATGAACCCAAAGAGGCCCACACTAAGACACATCATAATTAAAATGCAAAAGGTTAAAGACAAAGAGGGAATCTTAAAAGCAGCAAGAAAAATGTAGTTACCTACAAGGAAGCTTCCATAAGACTATCAGCTCATTTATCAACAGAACTTTGCAGGCCAACAGGGATTGGCAAGAATTATTCAAAGTGATGAAAAGTAAGGGCTTACATCCAAGATTACTCTATCCAGTAAATCTATCATTTAGAATTGAAGGACATACAAAGAGCTTCCCAGACAAGAAACAGCTAAAGGAGTTCATCACCACCAAACTAGTATTATATGAAATGTTAAGTGTCTTCTTTAAGAAGAAGAGCCCTGGCTGGGTGGCTCAGTTGGATGGAGCATCATCCCATACACCAAAAGAGTGTGGGTTTGATTACCAGTCAGGGAATGTACAGGAGGCAACCAATTGATTTTTCTCTCTCACATCAATGTTCCTCTCTCTCTCTCTCCTTCCCTCCCTCCCCTTCTCCCTCTCCCTCTCTCTCTAAAATCAATAAACGTATCCCTGGATGAGATCTTTTTTAAAAAAGCAAAAACTATGAACAATGAAATGTGATAGCCCTGGCTAGCCTGGCTCAGAGGATTGAGTGCTAACCTGCAAACCAAAGGGTCACTGGTTCAATTCCCAGTCTAGAGCATAAAGTCTGGGTTGAGGGCCAGGTTCCCAATAGGGGGTGTATGAGAGGCAACCACACATTGATGTTTATCTCCCTCTCTTTCTCCCTCACTTCCCCTCACTAAAAATAAATATTTTTTAAAAGAAAGAAATGTGTTAAAGTGACAATAAATACATATCTATCAACAACTGAATCTAAAAAAAAATAAATGAACAAGCAGAACAGAAATAGATTTATAGATACAGAGAATATTTTAATGGTTGCCAGATTGGAGGTGGGCTGGGGGATGGATGAAAAAGGTGAAGGGATTAAGAAGTACAAATCTGTTTTTCCAGAATTGTCATAGGGATGCAAAGTACAGCATAGAGAATAATATTCTAATAACCATGTGTCAGATGGGCTTAAGATTTATTGGGATGATCAGGATTTACATATACAATGTCTACTCACTTAGGTATACACCTGAAGCTAATATAATATCATATATAACTGTACTTGAAAAATGATTTAAATAAAGAAAAAACAAAAATACTCATGAAAGGTTGGTTGAATGAATGAATGCATAAGCCATCTAACAAATTTATTTAAGAAGAAATGAGGCCTTCTTAGATCTCCTTCCTGATGGAATTAGCCTCCTCCTGCTCCATCTTTCCCTGTCTTTGGATTGTACTTCTGTCAAGTGCAGATCACAATCCATCTCACATTTAGGACATGGGGGCATGCCTGCCTCCCTTATCTAGCGTGTGAGCTACTAGAGAGTAAGGATGTGTGTGTCATGATCATGTACGCTGCACATAAAAGGTGCTCAGTAAGTGGATACTCAATTCATTCTCTCTAAAAAGTGTGCTATGCTGATTATAAAGGGTTTAGGTGATGTAGAAAAACTAGGCAAGCCCTAGTTTTGTGTGGCTCAGTGGACTGAGTGCCAGCCTGCGAACCAAAACATCGCCAGTTCGATTCCCAGTCAGGGCACATGCCTGGGTTGTGGGCAGGGTCCCCCCTTGCAAGAGACAATTGATCGATGTTTCTCTTCCTCTCTTTCTCCCTCCCTTCCCCTCTCTCTAAAGATAAATAAAATCCAGTAAATCTATCATTTAGATTTTTCTTTTTAAAAAAAAAGAAAAAGAAAAACTAGGCACATGGATAAAAGCCATGGTAGAAGAGAAGTTCTCCAGTTCTGGTAGAAGAAAAGCACTTCGTGGCTGTCAGAGGATGGATGTTTGATCATTACCCTCATTTTACAGCTCAGCAAACTAAAGCCTAAAAGGCCGAGTGTTTGTGTCAGATTGCACACATCAGAGACAATGAGCATTACAGCTCAAGTTTCCTGCCTACCACCAGCTGATGGCTATTTCCCTCTCCACTTAAAATCAATTCTATCCTCACATCTCTCAGGTAACCCCTCCTGCTCTGCCAACCTGCCACATCCCAGGACGGTAGAAACAGGATAACCTGACAGAGATGCAGGCCAGGCACATAGGGGGTATAAATATATTTCTGACCACCTGTTTTGGGGGGGACAATGTCAATTTTTTAAAATCTATGTTTTATTATTTTCTCTCAATACAGTAACTTATCAAAAACTCACATTCTTTAATAGACTTTATTAAAAGACTTGATTTAGTTTCCTCAAGCCCATGATTAAACATTTACTATAAAGTTTTTCTATAATTTCTGAAAAACACTAAGAATGCACCACCACTTTCTTTGTCTACCTCAAACTTAACATAATTCCTATTAAAATTTCAGGGACACTTTTGTTTTAAGATATTTCCTATGAGTCCCTTTGTGAGTAACTGTGTTATTTTGACATAGGGATTTATCTTATTCTCATCACTAACATTGCAGAGTAAAGCAGACGGCACATCTCCTATTCAGAACAACTATGTCACTAACATTATCTGCAGTGCCTCCTCCCGGGAGTTAAGGTGATCAACTGCCCTGGTTGCCAGGGACTACGGGGTTTCCCCAGAACGCAAACCATCAGGGTTAAAACAGTCCCGGGCAAACAGGACAGTTAATCACGTTGCTGGAGAGTGAAGTTTGGAAAATAAAAGTTCCCACTCTCCATCTCTGGCCTGCCTTCTGGACATATGCAATCACAGTTTTTAAAATTTGTGACAATAATATAAACGCACCAAGAAACCATGTCTGGAAAAAGAGAAAGAAAATATATCCATACGTCATTCATGTTTGTCTTTGGATGACAGGACTGTGGGTGATATTTTTCACTCCTTTTTGTTTTTCTGTAATTTCCAAATTTTCTATAATGAACACTTTGATACTGGTGGAATCAAAAGCTTGAGTTTTAAAATATGTAACATCTAAAGATGGATAAATAGTATCTATGCCAAGTTAGCTGTCTGCTCCATTCTCAACAAACATCCTGAGATGTGTGTTCCAGGGACAAGCAAAAAGGCTAAGCTTTTACTTTCAGGAACATCTGGAAAGGAATGCTAATTTTTCGTACCAAGAGGCCCCAGCTGACTATTCCTGAGGAAGCAGACTGGCACAGTGACCGGCCTCACCCCTGCCAGACACAGGCACTCTTCCAGCACAGAGGTGGGAGCTTGCTGCTGACCTTGCTCGGCGAAGGGGCCGATCCAGACGAGGGCTGGGAGATCTGGAGTGCCGGGAGGTGGCAAATGAAGTTTCCAGGCGGCAATCGGCATCCCCTTGGTTATCGTAACTGGGTGAGGGCTTTCCAAACTTACTTGAATCTAACCATGACGGTGACTCATTCCTTAAAACAATCCGTTCATCTGGCTCTTTGATAACCTGAGTGACAATGTGCATTACTCTTTAGTAATAGTTTTCCTTTTCTTTGCTTAATTCAAAGCTGGGGTGGAGTGGGACAAGGAAGAGAACTGTGGGCATGGGGAAGGAATACCTGCCCTGGGGTATCTCCTGCTATAAAAGAGGGGTGGGAGTAGAGAAGACTAGAGACAAAATGCTCAGGAGTCAAGGTCAAGGAAAGATGACTAAAATTCTGTATGTCTGGCAGGGATATATTAACAAGCCAAAATAAACTCATGCTCTAAACTTTGACTTGTGAAGACTGGGGATTATTGGGTTTGGGAAAGGTAATAATTTTTAAACAAAACATTTAAATGCTCTGACATAATAGAAGCACAGTATACTCCATCTTCTTTGCATATTATCTGTCCCCATGTTGTAACACAGAACTTTGCCTCTTTACCTTGACAAACCAATTTACCACCTCTATGTATAAAAGTTATCTGATTAGATAAGGAACAATGATGATTCTACGGATAAAGTAGGTATTGGGCCTACATACACCCTCACTAGTGATTCATCCTACAAATGAGAACAGTTTCTATAAGGGGGAAAAACAAACTAAAGCAAGGCAAAGCAGACAGTGGAGCCTGGGGACCTCTTAAACTCCAGTTAAACTACAGCAATTCCATAAGCAGCACTAGCTAGAAATGTACTTTCCACCAGTCATTGGAGAAAAGCACAATAATTGACATTAAATAGCTGGAAATAAATTATTTTACAAATGCTACTTCTAAAATTACCTTTATGTTAGCTGCAAGGCTGTCAAGAGAAGATGCTAGAAGAAAGAGGAACAGGTGATTCAATGACTCATTATTACCAGTTACCCCCTACAACTGCTGCTATACTTACTCCACAGCAGTACAAAAGCATTACACAATGAATTATTAGAGAACTGAAATGCTCCCTTGCAAATTACACCATCACTTTGAAGTCTCCCCCGAGCCACAGCAGTTCTATGAGTTATTCTGTCCTCGTGAAGTCAACAATGAGGTTATGTTGTTAACGACAGCACATATAGATATGGGAAGGGTAAAAGAGAGTCTAAAGTGAAACAGTAAGTTCAGTAACCCCTAGGCAGCTGGGGAAACTCATATTTGCCCAGGTGCTCAGAGCCTAAAAGAAAGCCATGTGCTTCAAATATAAAATTCATATATGCTGCTGCTTCTGCCATTCCCTTTATATGTGGTTTTCGTGGAATCCTACTTAGGCAGACGCTCTTGAGGACACTTGTTCAAGGTAGACACAAATGTTAAATTGAGACAACGAAGACATGAGAGCTTGGAGAAACTTGACACAGCAAGAGAGTAAATCATTACGATTACCCCAACTACTCAGAATGAGTAAGTAGGTCCCATGCCAGAGAACGGTGAGAATGACTAGGAAGTGAATTAATTTAATACACATAAACAAAACCAAGACTAAATTGGATTTTTCCAGGTTGAGAAGTAAAGTGGTTTTGAAATGCACATTTGCAGCACTATGCTAGAGCTCCCATGGCTTCCTGCAGTGTGACTGGGGCTTAGGCAGTGAGAGGGGCTTTCCCTGACTACTGATTCCCCTTGTGCCACTGGCAGTAAGAAGGAAACTATAAAAAGGGATTTTAAAGTCTGGAAACTGTCATGTCCTCTGGGCAGGCAGGTATGTGCACGTCCCTCTTATCCCAGGTGCTCCCTTCTCCCAGCTGGGCAGGGAAAGGGCAATGTTAAGGCCTGTGTTTTTCAGACACAGCCACAAATCTGCGCTACAGTCCCCTTGCTCACAATTTTGAACACTCCCTCCCACAGGGGCTTGTGTTTGTTCCTCTGCTTCTCACAGTGAGGTCCGTGGACCAGGAGCATCGAATCACCTGGAAGCTTGTTAGAAAAGAAAGATCACAGGCCCCACCCCAGCCCTACTGAGCCAGAATCTGCAGCTTAACCAGATCCTGAGGTGATACAAATGCATGTTCAAATCTGAGAAGCACTGCTTTGCTCTACCTTAGGCCTGGATGAATGAGCTGACAGGTGGCCTAAGCATAGGTCTGGCTTGGAAGCTACAGTATCTGAGCCCAGAGGTCTGAATGTCTTCTCGAAATATAAGTATGCCAAAAACTTGGTGTGTGACCTGTACACATTCTGTAACCTCTCTGGAACCTTAGTTCTCCACCTGCCAGGATAGGGAAAAAATAAAGGCCGAGACCAATGTCATGTGTGAGTTCTATCATAATTGGGCCAGCATTAAGCCCAACTGGTCCTCTCAGGGAAAGGACATTTGCTATTGCCAGATTTCACAGCAATAGGAAAGATGGTGCTGCTTTTACAGGCAACCCCGGTGAATTTCAATCCAAATGATTTAAATTAAATGTCAGAGGTGATAAAGCACTTTCTGTGTCAAAAGGATACTCCATCCTTGGTTGACTGCAGTCAGTCACCAGGATCCAAGGACACCGGCTTCAGTTGCCAGAAGAGACTGTGCAGCACTTTAAAACTATAAACCTTTAGGCTTAAGATAGGAAACCCTGTTGTCAGGGATGGTACCAGTCCAGTCCCACCAGGAGGAAGAGAATGGGCCACCATCATCCCTTTCTAGCCCAATAATTTTTATTAAGTTGAGGGATGGTTGAACTTCACTGCCATGACCTTCAGTATTGACACAGTTCATGTATTTCAATCAAAGGCAAAGGTCTCCAAGGGATGCTTCAACCCAGGGACTCTCAATGTGTGGTCCAGGGACCTCCCCAGGTGGTCCCCGGACCCTTCAGGGGATCTGCAAGGTCAAAACTATTCTCCTAATAATACTATGACATAAGTTGCCTTTTTTACTCATTCAGTTATCACTATACAATGGAGTTTTCAAAAAGCTACGTAACTTCTTGGTCTTTTATCTAAGATCAAGTATAATATCAAAAAGCTACATAGCACATTGTAATGTTGCCACTCTGACATTATGACAGTGGAATGTGTGCTTGTGTATTCTTGTAATTTACAAATTTCTCAGTTTTCATTTCTAATATACTAAATATTAATAGATATCATCCACATAAATGAAAGCTCTTTGATGACCTCAATTTTCACGACACCTGAAAGTCTGAGGTGAATAACTGCTGCAGGCAGAGTTGACTCACCTCCTCACAAACATGGACTCTTATAAAGCAAAAGTTATGTCTCCTAATCACTGATCCCCTGCTCTTTCCTATCCAGAGAAATGGCGTGTCTTATTTGTTAGCTATCAATGGTGCCTTTGCAAGGAGTTTGTACCAAACAAGCTGCTCCCTGCTTTCCCAGCCCAGCCAGGACACAAATGCTGCCAGAGCACACATGGGGACCACGGTAGTCAGCGCAGTCTCCTCAACAGCTAGGAGAACTCTGAAACTGCTTCTAGCCTGACTCTGCTCCATGGAAACTCCTTCCCTGGAAACCCCACAGCTGGAGAGTACTTGAAGTTCAATCCCAAGCATCCAAAGAAACATGTGATTCCACAGTATGAAAGATTTAGAAGTAGGGTGCATTTGTTCCTATAGGGAAATGTACAGGAGTAACAAGAAACTTGAATACCTCTTCTCATTGGAAAGGGACAGTGTGAAAACTTGGATTTTCTTCTAGACTTCCCAGAATGATGCTCTGAAATACTCTCACCAAAGGGCTTTGCACTGTCCACCTGAAAGAAAAAGAAATAAGATTTGAACCCACCATAGCCTGTATTACCCTCTCCACCTTACCTGTAATGCCTTCCTCCCCCTCTGTCGTGGGTCATGCAAATGGGAAAAGAAAGTTGGGAATAAACTAAATCACAGTCTCCATGTACATTCAATATTATCCCAGTAGGAAGAGAAGTCTGTCCCTATCTCCACTGAGGCTAGGTCACAGAGAGACGGGCTAAACATTAGCGTAAAGAACTCAAGTTGGACACAAGTTATATTCTAACCACTGGTAAGGATCAAGCCCACAAAAGAGCAAGTGAAGTTCATTTTGCAGTCTTTTAAAACAGGGCAGAGTTTCGTGTTCCCAGTCTGAGCAGTGCTGGCCTAGGTGGGCTTCTCCCTGAAGATGAGGGATTATCACAAGATGACCGTTCAGCTTCCACATCCCCTGCCAGTCTGAGTGACTATATTATTTTACTTAAAGTAACCGTATTTTCACAAATTGGACAATGTGATCTGTAAACAGGTAAAAAAATGAGAGTTGCTGGATTTTTTTTACTTTATTTATTTGTTGTTGTTGTTTTAATTTCAATAAGAGAGGTTATAACATTATTCTTCATTCTACTGGAAGAAATATATTGATTAGAATTCACAGTCTCTACAACATTAGGTCTTGTAAATTTAAATGCTTCTACTTAAAGCAACACCAGATATCAGGAAATCTGGCTAAATAAAAGAGAATGTATAAAAGCACTTAGAAAAGAGTTTCGCACTTAGTAAAGGCTAGATAAGACTTTGTTCAATGAAATAAATATCAAGCTAGTTTTATTACCTAAGAAATCTACCAAGATTTTAAGGTTATTTGTCCCATAACAACTCAGACTAAAGTTGCATTTTACAAAAATGTATTTCAAATGGAATAAATCAGACTGTCCAATAAACTCAATTCGATAATATTTTTGTGATGCCATGTTGAAAGACTGGTTGCTAGATTTTTGTCAGACATTTTTATCCAAGTCACCATGAAGAAAACAGCCGTTCTGTGTTCTTAGCCAAAGAACATCTCTGCACTAGCTAAAAATCAACTCTGAACATGGTCATCTCAGCGACAGCGTGACTTTGGGGTTTACCATGCTTCCTCTCTGATATCAAATGCACAGACATCACCACTGGTGACTTTAATTCAAATTATCAATTTGACTATAATATCAATAGTTAACTAATAGAATCATAAGAACTGCTGGAGAATAAGTCATGAACTAGAACACAGAATGGTGTCAAGAAGAATATGAAATATTAGAAATGCTTATAATGTAATATTAACTGTATATATTGAGAAACTTAACTACGTATAGTATAGTATAATTACAGCTTTGTGGAAAAATAAGGCCTTTTGAATATAAAAAGATGAAAGAAAATGCATTAAGTTAAATAAATTATGTAGTTGTTTTTATTATGCTGGTGAGCCTATAGGTAATTATTTTGAATATTTTAATATTTTCCTTTTTTTTATAGTAGTCAAAACATTTAAGGAGACTAAAAGAACTAGTGTGATTAAATTTGCCAATTTCTCTGAGGTTTAAATCTAAAATAAATTTAATCAAGGGCTTTGACTATGGTACATTATTGCTTCTTCCTGCATATGTATTTTCCCTGCTCTTATGGCCAATGAGCAACAACTTCATTTAAAACTTAAAGCAGTTTTCTTTAAAACTGACCAAGTTTTAGTTTTAGATTGATACAGAGTATATGCCAGCCTTTGTTATGTGTCTTCGACCTATTAGTTCATTGATTCTTCTGGATGACAGTTGCCATGACACTCTTAATTAACAATTTTCAAAAACTAAAAGCAGGGATAGCTTCTAGAGAGCAAGTCCTCTGTACAAAACATCTTTATAGGAATTTCCTAAACATGACTCTAGGACGGAAACATAATTTAATCAGTTATTATTCAGTTTGAATTCCCTCTTTAATATTTTTAAGTATATTTTATTGAGTATGCTATTATAGTTGTCACATTTTTTTCTCCCTTTTATTCCCGTCCACCCTGCACCTCCACCTTCCACCAGCATTCCCCCCTTAGTTCATATCCATGGGTTGTACATATAAGCTCTGTGGCTTCTCCATTTCCTGTTCATAGTTTTAATCTTTTTTTAAATAGATTTTAATTAGAGAGGTGAAGGGAGGAAGACTGTGTGAGGAACATCGATCAGTTGCCTTTCTCTTGCCCTCAACCAGGGACCTGGCCTGTACCTTGGCTGGGAATTGAACCAGCAACTTTGCAGACTGAAGCTCTGTCCACTGAGCCACACCAGCCAGGTGATCTTTTTCTTAGGTAAGTCCCTTTAACATTTCGTATAATAAGGGCTTGGTAGTGGTGATGACCTCCTTTAACTTGACCTTATCTGAGAAGCACTTTATCTGCCCTTCCATTCTAAATGATAGCTTTGCTGGATAGAGTAATCTTGGATGTAGGTCCTTGCCTTTCATGAGTTTGAATACTTTTTTATTTAATATTAACCAATTAGTTTTATGACCTAAACTTCCTGTATTCTGAGCTCATTCATACCCTCACCATTCCAAAAAACTCCAAAAGATAATTTTAAGCTCACATGTCTAACTACAAACGGAGGTTTGCTTTCTCTGGAGATTTTGAAGTTATTTCCAAGGTTCAGCTGAGCTGGCTGGTCCTGGAAGAAACGCCTGGTAGAATATGGAGAGGGCACCCGGGACTGCATGCTCTGGGGCGATTTGTTGAGATTATGCTCCCTTGGTTTCCCATGTGTATTATTTAAGGGGAATTTTGGTCCATATGGTGTAGATAAAGGACTTCGTGACTTATAACTTTCTTCCTGAAACCAAAAAGGAAAAAGAAAACAATACTTTTTAAAACAAAAATAAAAAAAGAAAATTTTATCAGAATATAACTATATCTAATTGAACTTTGTTTAACTAAGGTAAAAAACTGACCATCTCAGATTTGTAAAACAGAAACTCAAGTAACGGCATTTTTCTACTTAATTTTTCTTCAGTTCAGCTTAACATTATTAGTATGTATAACTTGCTATTATGTTGTATTTCAGTTAATAACAGTGAGTGAGATATATTTGTATCAGGAGACAGTAAGTCTTAGAAACTTCCCCAGTCATAGACAGATGATCAATCAATACACAGATATTAAGATTGAGATTAAGAGAATCTGGTATATACTCAGATCCAGCAATTTCACACTAATGAAGTTGTTATAAGGAAATAATTATGACTATGTGTTTAGCTAAAAATATTTTATAACAGTTCAAAACTGAGAAACCAACTATATTGGAAAGTTGTGAGTAAGCAATTGCCTCTCAACTACAAACCCACCTTTTCTAGACTCTGCTTGTAATACAGGGCTGTCACTCTGCAAAACCCTTCTCCTTCTCCAGCTATCATTTGACTCTACCACCACTAAGAGGCACTGGAGGGAGCCTGCAAGACTGCACCAAGAAGGCAGAACTGACCACTGCCAGTTTTGCATTTTATTCCTGTCAGCATCAGCCCAGCAACTATGCTTTATCTTGGCAACAGCACATGGTTCCAGTGTATAGTTCCCACCACTCCAATAATCCCAGAACTAGCCTCAGTGTGACCTCCTCAGACATACCAGCACTCAGAGATTGGAGTCTAGCCCCACAGGAGCTGAGGCACCCGCTATGAGTGATGTCTCCCCTCAGAGGTCTGAGTCCCAACTCATCTAAGTCCTACCTCTGAATTCCTGAGGAAATACCCAGGAAGGCAGCCCCTCCACAGGGTCCTTCTCCTATGGGATTCCCTTTCTATGGGGTCTCTTCCTCAAGTTTCTGTGTTCTCGATGACCCAAACTCTTTCCTTTGTTTCCTCAGTCCAAGGGGTGGAAGCTGCTTCCTGCAGTTACTATCTCCATCACTTCAGTGTTCCTTTTACCTCTCAGTACTCCAGCCTCTGTTTAGCCTTTTTTTTTTCCGTTAAATCTTTCTGTTAAAATAATATGTGTAGTTTGTTTTCCTGACTGGACTGTGACATATCCGTTAAGTTCCCAACTAGGAAAATGGTTGGCCAAATAAATTATGGTGTTACTGAGCAATGGCATACAATGAAGCCATGACAATTTGCCTGGTGTAAAAGTACTTAAGGAGTCCTGGCTGGGTGGATCAGTAGGTTGAAATGTCATCTGGTACACAAAAAGGTTGCAGGTTCAATTCCCAGTCAGGGAACATACCTAGGTTGTGGTTTGATCCCTGGTCGGGGGAAGTAGAGGAGGCAACCCTTCGATGTTTCTCTCTCACATTGATGTTTACCCCTCTCTGTCTCTCTCCCCGACCCTCCCTCCCTTCTTCTCTCTCTAAAATCAATAAACATATCCTCGGGTGAGGACTTTTTAAAAAAGCACTTAAGTACATGAGAATATGTTCATGGTATATTAAGTGAAAAAGGAAGGGTATAAAATAATATGCAGTATAGTATGATTTTGATCCTTAAATAAAAGTATATGTGTTGTATAGAAGAATATACTCAAAAAATTATACTCATCTCTAGATAGTAAAAATGACATAAAATTTTTAATTTTATGTCCTTTTTGCTTATTTCTATTTTCTAATTTTCTAAAATAAGTGGGATACTCTCGTTATGACAAAAAATAAAAGATATTACTTTTACTTTATTTTTGATTGATTTGAGAAAGGGAAAGAGAGAGAAACATCAATTTGTTGTTCCACTTATCCATGCATTCATTGGTTGATTCTTATACATGCCCTGACCAGAGATCAAACCCACAACATTGGCATATCAGGATGACACTCTAACCAACTGACCTACCTGGCCAGAGCAAAGATATTACTTTTATAAGAGTTAAAAGGAAGATTACATATATATATACACACACATATACATATATATAAAAGGAAGATAGACATATAAAATTTATATGTATAAAGAAACCTCCCATGTATAAATATATATAAATAGGAGGAAGGTATATATTATACATATAAAATTTATATGTACATGAAAGATGTATATAATTTTTTATATACACACACACATACACACATATAAATGGAGGTTTTAAAGAAAAAAGATAGATGGAAAAATTCACTGTGCATACATATAATTGGAGAAAATAGTGGGTAAATAAAGAAAAACTGAAAAGCAGCTAATTACTTCCTTAAAATTAATCATTGGTCTCCCACTGTATGAGTTATAATGCCCAGAGGATTGATGGATTTGCACAGACTCTTGTGATTAAGTACCCACAGTCCACATTTTCAAGGTCTTTTGAAGGATCAGGCAAGATTTAGGATGACAAGCAAAGTATTCAAAGAAGCTTTACAAATTACATTATATTCATTCTCCATAGTGTTCTAGAAAGGACTTTAAATTGTTACAAAATTGTGTACAATAAGGTAAAAGAAACACAGAAAGAAATCAGGGTGAAGGGGAAACTAGGAGAACAAGAGAATGAAACAAGAGAATGAAATGGAGGGAGTGCTCACGGATGCCCCAAGACCCTCCACGATGACCAAAGGTGGCCCACAATACAACTCTGACCTTCAGCCTCAGAAGAAGAAAGAAGGAAACACTATTGTTCATAAGATCAAGAGTAAAAATCATGGAACAACAACCACCAAAAAAACTAACTAGCTTACACGTCAAACTTGTGATCTTAGCTCGAGATCATTCTGTTCTACCAACTGTATCGTGATGAATGTGTCAAACATATTCACTCTAATGTGACAAGCTGGGCAAACAGTTTTATAGAAATTCAAAGTTAGCAATAAGTCTCCAGGTTTCTATTCATCCAGTTGCATCTAAATTTGATAAACCTAGTTCTTTAAATTTGTGGAGAAAATTCTTGACATTTCTATTACTGACTTCTTGATTATACTTACAAGAAATCTGTTTCTATGCAGAAGCACACATTCTCTGATGGCTGTCCTTGTAGAAAACTCTATTTTGGGAGCAATGCCCTAAAAATAAAACAGCATAAAAGAGGCAAGTAAAATTATTGGAAACAGGTTCTTTGCCCATCCATTCTTGAAATCATGCAAGAACTTAATTGCACTTTTGTGTGGTTGGCATAATCCACATGCATTACTTAAAATATACATGTAACAAATATATATACATATATATACATACATACATATATATATATATATATATATATATATATACACACACACACACACACACACACAATGAAATATTATTCGGCCTTAAAAAAGGACATTTTGCCATTTTCAACAACATAGAAGAACCTGGAGGACATTATGCTAAATGAAAGAAGCCAGACACCACAAGATGAACACTGCTTGAACTCACTTATATGTGGAATCTACAATAGTCAAACTCACAGAAGCAGAAAGTAGAATGCTGGTTGCCAGGGGCTTATAGGATGAGGGAAATGGGTAGATGTTGGTCAAAGGGTACAAAATTTCAACTATGCAAGATGAATAAATTCTGGACATCTAATATCTAATGTACAGTGATGTGACTATAGTTAACAATACTATATTGTTATTAGATATTTGAAATTTCTAAGATCTCAGGTGTTCTTACCACAAAAGAAAAGAAAATGGTAACTAGTAACAGTACGTGGTGGATAAATTAATTAGCTTGATTGTGGCAATTATTCCACAAAAACATCAAGTTGTACACCTTAAATATATACAATTTTTGTCAATTATATACCAATAAAGATGAAAGATAAAAATAATATGTAATAATAGCTAAACACACAAGTTGTATTATGTGCCAGGTCCTGACCTAAGTCCTTTGTGTGTAGGAACTCATCTAATCCTCAAAACCACCTAATAAGGTAGGTCTTAATAGTATCTCTACTTTGTAGAGAAGGAAACTAAGACACAGAGTTAGAGTAACTCACCCAGCTAGTGATGGCAAAGCTGGTTATTGAACCCAGGCACTCCAGTGTCCATGCAGTTAGCTACTCTAATGAGATTAGATTACCTAGGGGACATGAGGGATAGGAGTTTTCCTTCCCTATCTACTGGCTTTGAAAAACTTGCTTTATATCTCATACAAAATACTTATGTTCATTTGACCTATTTCCAAACTCTTCATTTTGTTGCATTGTTTGATACTCCTATTTTTGCTAAGTATCACATTGTCTAAAATATTGTGAAATATATATATTTCAGATCAAATATTATATCCAATGTCACACAGCTGGGGATTGGGAGAGCCAGGATTTGCAACTGTTGGAAAGTAAAGCCCATATTCTTCCCGTCACCCCATGCTACCTCCTGAGGGGTAGGGAGACTCAGCTTGTTTCCTGTGCATTCATTCCTATACACATCCACCCCTGTGCATTCCTCGTCTACAAAATAAGTCCTTAACAGACACAACCTACATTCTGAGCTCCTTTTTTGTGGTATGGAGAGAACTCTAGAATGCATAGTATGCCCTTAAGAGTACTCGGTGTAGACTGGTGGCTCAAAATTTCTGGGCTTATAAACACAAGGGCCCAGGTGCTGCACAGGGTCAGATCACCCAAGGGGGCATTTGATAAAGAACATATAATGCCATGACCAGTACAGCATCACCTCCGGCTGACAAGGCTGCCCACATGAAGAAGAGGACTGGGGGCAGTTCCAGGCTCCACAGTGCTACTGGTGAAATCACAAGACCTCACATGTGTGGCAGGCCCCTGGTCCCCCATGGTGCAGTTGCCTGAGCCTGAACAAGTCATCTCTTGAGTCACAGACTTGTATAGTCTTCTCATTGCCTCACAGGGAGGCAGTATTAAACCTTCAGTGACAGTACAATAAAATACAACAACTCACCTTCATTGTGCACATAACTATACAGCAGTATTATGCTAAACACTATCCATACATTACCTCATTTAACCCTCACAATATCCCTATGAAGAAAGTACTATTATTAGTCCCATTTTATAGGTGAGAAAACTAAGGTAGATTAAGTAATTTACCTTAAGTCACAGTGTCAAAACTAGGATTGAACCCAGATGATCTTAGGCCATACTCAACCACTATCCCTATAGCTGCTCAAGAGTTCTTCACATCCCTGGCTCACTGTGCCTGGAGAAGAGAGGAGGGTCCCTGCCAGGAAGGAATCTGCACTCTGTAACACACTCTTGCTCACCTTAAATAACCTCCACTCCTAGCAATGATTTATAGACAACGAGAAGGAATGTGTTCTCTTTTCCACAGCAGCACCAATTTTAGCATAATAGTTAAGAGTGAAAATTTACAGGCTCTGTTTTGTCCGATGGTCTTAGCAGTGGGATGATGGCGATGATGGTTAGGTCAATAAATGGATTTAACAGTAGGATTTTTCTAGAATCATTACACTAACAAAAACATAAAATTAACTAAAAGTTAATAATTAAAAAAAATAATATTCTCCCTGCTTATCTTATAAATTCAGTCCTCACCTAACAAGAAAACAGATTATCTTTTTAAAAAAATCTTGACCTCAGCAGTAAAAGGGAATTGAGGAGGGAGGGAGGGAGGGAGGCTGTCAAGAGTGTCAAGTGAATAAAATAAAACAATATGGAAATACAAAGAAAAAGCCACAGTTGAGTGGAGGAAATATATCTAATTATTAAACAATTGATAAATTAAGAGAAAAAAATGAAGTGAATGATTTGCCTGACCTACACATGTAATTTATTCTCATGTCATACAATATTAATAAAAAGAAATCTGACAATAAACATGAGAGAACAGCATCAGGCAGTGACTAAGAGCGCACACTTCAAAGTCCAACAGGCCAGCATAAGGATCCCTGCCCCACTGCTCACCTGCTCTGGGACTCTGAGTACATTTCTTAAACTCCCTATGCCAGCTTCCCCATCGATAAAATGAGGGAAAAAATAGTAGCCACCTTGCAGGGCGGAGGAGGACTGGCAAGATAATCCATGTAACAAGCTCAGCACCGTGCCTGGCATCTCATGAGCACACAACAAATGCCGGCTATTATTAAAACTTCAGCAAGTGGTTTTATTTTGCTTTATAGGATATACGAGAGAAACTGGGCTCCTCTATTTTTCTAAAAATTGTTTAAAATATAGTTTAATTAACTTCATTGTAAGAATTGATACTTTAATGCTTGAGGATCTTTCCCTGCAGTTTTAAAGCCTTTTCTCATAAATCTGTATTTATGAATAACTATAAATACAACTTCCTATAGATTCTTCTTCCTACGTCTGTTCATAAAGGTAAACAAAGATAGCATTTGGAAAATTGTAAGAGGCTGTGTTTCTCCTTGTCTGGATACTTAGCTGAATACCAGCCCAATGTTGATCGATGGATTTTACTCACTAGAAAACTCAGGTAAACCAAAGTTAATATAAGGCAGATTCCTCACATGATTCTCACCAGTTTTTACTCTTTTAGCTTCTGAAGAGCAATACCCCAATAATTCAAAATAATAAAGGCAAACATCTCATGAATACCATGGATATAAGTGATACACGAAGAATATCTCTGAGAAAAAAATGGTGTCAGTGATATTCACAGAACCCTTCAAGATAATGGAGGGCTTAAAGTTACAGTCATCAGGAATTCTGATTAGGACAACTTTTGATGAATTCTATTGTTTGAAGAATTAGAACTACAAGTTCTGTCATCATAAATGTCACAGAAACGGGGCCCCGCATGGTATCTATTCTGCACAATACTCTCAACAAAATAGAGATGATAACAAGTTGAATATTAAATACATATTTTATAATTTACAAAGATGTGGCCCTTAAAATGGAGGTCATCCAAGTGACATAAAAGTCAAGTACATTGTCAGAGTTGCTGCAGAGTTAGAAATCATCACAGATAATGTCAAAATGAATATTTTGAATTTGGGTTCAGATAATGCCCACCAACAGTTAGATTATCAACTGAATACCTGAAACCTATATAATTTTATTAAGCAATGTCACCTCAATAAATTCAATAAAAAATAAATAAAAAGATTATCAACTGAATAACTGCCCTATAATTTAAGATCCTGCATTAGTATCAGTCTGTGAATCTCCGTCAGTTTCCCATCCATTAAATGGGGACCATAATGTCTGCCTTGGCTGACTTGAGAACTGTTATGAGGAAAGTAAGATATCATGTGAAAAACTAAAGTGCAAACTAAATGAGAGGTAGCATTATTACTGTTACTGCCCTATTTTACTTTATTACTAAAACAACAGCTATAATTAAATAAATTGATGCCACATCTTTCAGTTAATCTGCATTAAGAGGAGGTAAAAAAAAATCATCCTTTTTATAATCATGTGAGTGTGAGTATGATTTAGCCAGATTAGGTAAGACTCCCACCTCTCGGATCAATAATGGGGATCTTTCTGAGTAGGGCATCTGAACAAGGCTATTAAGCAGAATAACAGGGGTTCTGACCAAGATGAAGGCATCATCAGCCCAAGAGCAAGCCCTATCAGGAACGAAATAATCAGGCCCCAAGGATTTCTCTTGTAACAGAAGCCCAGCTGGGCACAGATCGCTTACAGGAAAACCTGCAGCCGTTTTCATGAGCACCTCCCTACACATGCCAGGGTTCGAAGGTGTCAGCTTGGGCTCAGGGAAAAGAAACTCCCGTGTGTTTTCTTCATAGTAGGCCAACTCTTCCCACACTAGAAGAAAGAAGGAAAGGCATAAGTAGATTTACATTCTAAAAATAATGTATCTACATCCCAAGTTTAACAAAATAAAAGCTCAGATGACGGCAATGAGGCAGAGATGGCACATAGATAAAAAGAGATATTTTGATTACAGCACCTATTTAATTCAAGAGGCAGATGACTTCTACTACTTTTTATCTCATGGATAATTTTTAAAGGCCCCCCACCAAGTCATAACAGGGATAAAACACTATCTAAAGGTTTGTTCTACAAAACAGAACAAAGAGGAAAATCTCTTTCTGTCCATCCATCCATCCACCCATCCATTCATCCATCCATTCTTTCCTTCAACAAATGTTTTCTCGGAACATACCACAGGCCAGGTGCTGGGGACAGAACAGGAACAAGGCAGACAATGCCCTGTTTGTGTGAAAGTCACAGTGCAGACGGGGGTTCAGTGTGTTCTGTGATATAGGGATGCAAATGTCCCAACGGCCCAGAGAACAGCTAGAGCTGCAGTTCTTAGCAGGGCTGGTTTCAGCCCCAGGGGCACTTCCAAAACACGTGGAGACACTTCATGGGAGGGAGCCAAAGGCCCTGCAATGCTCGAGACACTCCTGCACAACCGCCTGACCTCCTACCAGACATTCTTGCCAGTGAGAAACCACTGTATGAACCTAACTGATACATATAAATACAATTTTTTGCATAATTTTAAAATACACTGGATTTTCAGGAATGCAAGTAGTATGTACATTAAGGAAGAATTGCACTTTCCTGTTTGGATCTTTACTGGGATCCTTTTGGCATTTTGAAAATCATGTCACATCTAAATACTTCACTATGCCCAACATTTACATGCTGATGCACATATTTTATTTTAAATCACTTTCTTTTTATTTCTCCTTTATATCACAGTTCAAATACTGTGGTTTATATAAGTTGGTTCTATTAACTATGAATATTATTTCAGTATGGTAAAAGGGATGCTACAAAATATTAACCAAAGTAATCTTGGGTCTAATAGGACTGAGAGTCACTGAGCTAAAGGATGGAGAAGCTGCCATCTGAGCCCTCCTCGTCTACATGGTAGTTGCTACACAAGTGGTTTGGACTGAGCGTGGCCCCTCTAAGGAGCATTGCCAAAATAGTAACCTAATCAATGAGGGAGCATTGCTGCCTGGCAACTGCCATTTTACTGGTGACAAGAATTCTGATGAGGGTATTTTTTGGTACATCAACTGTAGAAATAATTGACCTTTTATCCAACAATATAATGGATCAATTTCTTCCTACTTATTTCACTTACTGGGTTCTAATAAGGATAATGTGCAAAAAAAATGTATTCTGTATCTTTCATTACAATATCCTTTCTTTCTACTCTTCCTCTCTCAGATGTACCCCACCCACAATAAACTAATAATGTATCTTTCCTTCCCCTGCTATGAACTTGCTCAGCGTAGACTATTCCTTCTAAAATGTCTTTTCTGCCTTCCCATCCTGCTGAGATCCTGTTCATCATTCAAGTTTCACCTTAAATGTCTTACAGTATATACAACATAACAGGTTCAAAATAGAATGCTTGATTGTTTTTCCATCACAAATAATCTCTTCCCTCCTCCCATCAGAGGAACCAGTACCAGCTGCTCCAGCCAAATATTTAGGATTTATCCTTGATTCTACTCTTGCATTCCTTACATAAATCCATTAGCAAGTCCAGTTGACTCTATCTCCAAAATAAACATAAAACTGTCCCCTTCTCTCCATTCATATAGCTACCACCCTGGTCCAAGCCCTGTCCACCTCTCTCCTGGACTACTGTCATGACCTCCTAGCTGGTCAGCCTGCTTCCACTCTTCCTGCACTCAAATCCATTCTCCACACACTGTGATGTTATAAACACATCAGAAGGAGCCCTTCATCTGCTCCCCTCGATGGACATGACCTCCTTGCTTTTTTGGCGGAGACTCCCTCTACTGAAATTTCTACTGAAACCTACAGCATACTGGGTAAAAACTCAGGCTCTAGGTTCAGACAGAGCTGGGTTCAAATCCTTGCTTTACCAATTGCCAGCTATGTGACTGAGCAAATTATGTAAACTCCTTAACTTTAGTTCCCTCTTCAGAAAAATGTAAAACTCATAACAGTACCCGCCTCTTAGGGCTATTGTGAGGACAAATGACAAACACGTGTGAAGTGCAGAGCACAGTGCCTGCATTACCTGCCATCACCAGGATGGCTCCCTGACACCAGCCCAGCAGCAGTCTCAGCACTACCCTTGTCTTCATGACTATTGTTTTCAATAATATGCTCCTAGTCTGAACAAACACCTTGATGCATGGTATGATGCTCTACACATTGAGATTTTCCTTTTTCCTTTTCACATGTTTTTGCCTAGTTCTTGTCACTGCATCCAAGATGATAAATTATTATTCCTGTATGTAGCAAAAATTAAGATGCAAATAAGTTGTCAGAGAACTGGAGGTGAATTCATCTACTATCTTTGGAATCACAGGGATAAAAAGAGACAGAAAGCATTAGAGGAACAGAAGGCTGCAAAGCTTCTCAATTCTGCCTCGCTGGTTTGGTCTAGAGATCCAAAGTGCCACCCAGTATGAAAATGTCAGCACACCGAGGGGATATTACAACAAGAGCCTAGATTGTAAATAATAAACAAACAAAGACACAGGCTGAGCAATTTATATAGAGCAAGTGGAATGTCTGAAAAAGTCCACATTCTTAATAGGCTATGGCACAGACAGGGACATCATCAGTCCCATCAGCGAACGGGTGCTCCCCAAGAAGGAAACAAATGAGACTTCAAGGGAAATAATTTTAATAACAATACTGGTTCAAGAAATACCTAGCATTTGAAGAGCATATCAGAATTGACAACTTGTTTCCCAGTACGGGGTCTCATTTGATTCCCTTTGCAGATAAGGAAACTGAGGCTCTAAGAGTTGAAGACACTTGTCACAATGCCACATGGCAAAGTAGAAAGTCAAAACCAGAACATCCGAGGCAAAAGTTCTTTCCTGCTGATGCCTAGTAAACATTCTGATGAAGTGTAAAATCAAGCTCTGAATCAGGGAGCGGGTGCCCACTAAAATAGCATTTTACAGCTGGACTGACTATACAAGACACGTACCAAAGTAGGGGTTTTATTTAAGTCACTAAAAGAAAGCACCAAGTTCACTGTTGTCCAGGATTATGCTGCCCCCCTGTGTCCATTCGCTTTTTCCCAGCTTTGTAAACTGGACAGATGGATTGGGGGCGAGTCTATTGCTTCTAAGACAAATAATTGGATCTTTTCTTTCTTTAGCTGCAGAGCTGTATGCAAATCAGAGGTACATGTATCATTTAACTTAATGATCATAATGTCTTTGATGATAATAAGTGTGTTTGGAAGCAATGTGAAAAAGTACAAAACAGTAAAGTAATATATACAGCAAAATGAAAAGGTATCAATTCAGCCAATGAAGAGCTGGTCCTTGTAAACCCAAACGTGGCCCATGTTACCACACGGTGCAGTCTACATAAGACTTCAAGCAAGCCATATTTATTTAATTATTTGTATCAAGGACTGGTAGATCAGGAGGTTTTATCACTGGCACCCCGGGACTAGTGCCACCTGCATGATTCCAGGAAGTGGCACAGGGTAGGGCCTGCACACCCGCAACAAACACATGCTGCATGATGAATCAGTCTATAATGCATCTGAAACAGTGCATTTGTTACTTTGAGCAATTAAAATTTAATTATACTCTGAAATTGAAGGAATATAGACCCCAAAAAATATATACTAAAGCCTCCATTGTGTATCTGATTAACTTTTAAGTTATAACCAATATACATACACCCAGCTTCAATATTCTCCAATCATCATAGTTTCAAACAATTCTTGCAACCATCTCACAGATGGATTTCTGGTCATGTGAAAAACAGATGGCAGTCTAGGATATATTAAATTTTAAAAAGCAAATTGCAGAATATATACATTGAACCAAAATATAATACCAAATATACATATATAAATACTAGATATATTTAGCGTATATATATGCATGTATGTATATATATGCACCATTTTAGGGCTCGTTGACTATACTAAATGCATTATATTTATACTAAATACACCTTAAAAGGTCTAAAAATATACACAAATTGTTAAGTAATTATTGTCAGTTGATGATTTTAAAAAAGTCAAGGCTTTTGACTTTTTCCTTCATAAAATTTGTGTTAATTAAAAATTTTATAGTGAGAATACTTAGGTATTGGTAATTTTTAATTCATATAAAATTAAACTAAAATGGGCCTATTTCTATCTTATTAGTATACTAAAATATAACTTGTCCGTTAGCAGTGATTTATGTTTAAATGTAAAAGTGGGTCAAATAAGAAAAAAACTTAAGTGAAGAAAAAAACCTCAATGCCCTGATTTTAGTCTGAGAAACACTCAGTGGGAATTTCTGAAAAGTAGAGAGGAGACATTGCTGGCCTTCTCTCTGTCATGTCAACCCAAGAAAGCAATGACATGTGCAAGAGTGTCTGTCCCTAGATCCATGGAGATTGGGGTTCTTGTCTGGTTTGAGAGCCTGCTTCTGCCAATGAACCAAGAGGCAGAATAAAGGACTACAGACTCCTGGGTCCACTCCACGGGGGCCTTGACCTGCTCCAGGGCAGCCACAGTGGGCAGAGCAAGGATCCTCCTAAAAGCCTCCACAGCCATCTCTGCTTTAGCTGAGGCATCTGCCAGTGAAGTGGTGGAAACTTGCTGGAGATCAGTTTACTCCCAGGTTACAAAACATGGCTCAATCTAATAATTCTATCCTTTGTAAATATACCAAGAGGAAAAAGTAATTTTTATAAAAATGTGAAACACAAAAAACCCTAAATGCTCAACCATACCAATTTAAGGATAATTCTAACACTACAGGAAAATACATAGTTATTGAAAATAACAAGTAAACTACAGGTAACAATATAGAATGAAAAAATAAAAACCAAAATTGTATGTACATACTGTTTACAAACCTATAAAAACATATAAGTAAATTAATGAAACTCTTTATAACTATTTAAATAATGATGTAGAACTATGATTTTTTAAAAGACAATAGGAATACAGGATGGGAGAAGCTAATAATCGGAGAAAATGTATGTGATACTATGTAAAAATTCCATACCTTGATATTTTCTTCTGTCCCCAGGAAAATATCAAGAAACAGGTTCACCAAAATATAAATAAAAGTTTTCTCGCCCTGGCTGGCGTAGCTCAGTGGATTGAGCGCGGGCTGTGAACCAAAGTGTTGCAGGTTCGATTACCAGTCAGGGTACATGCCTGGGTTGCAGGCCATGACCCCCAGCAACCGCACATTGATGTTTCTCTCTCTCTCTTTCTCCCTCCCTCCCCTCTCTAAAAATAAATAAATAAAATCTTTTTAAAAAGATAACTGAAATTTGATATTAAAAACTATTATAAAAAAGTTTTCTCATCATTTGGGGATGCTTTTTATGATACAGTAAAACTATGAAGATTTATTTGAGGGAAGGGAAAGGGCAAAAATTTATAATGGCAAAGATCAGAAGAGCATTAGAAATGTTTCTGAATTTAGATATATTCTCTCTTTCTCACACACACACAGACACACACACACGCACATGCGCATGACTCGAAAATCACCAGATAAGTATTGGGTTAGCCAAAAAGTCCATTATGTTTTTTCTGCAGTGGCTCTAATAGTGCTTAGTTGTCTTTAACTTCATTTGAAACAATTTTGTTAGATTGTGACGTGACAGCTGTCATATCTGGGTGTATTTAAAAAAACCCTACCAAAATTAGTGAATTTTTGTGCAGCCATTTTAATACTGAAGATGGAAGAAAATATGCAACATTTTGGTATATAATGCTTTATTAAATCTCAAGAAAGGTAGCACAACTGAAATGCAAAAAAAGGTTTGTGCAGTGTATGGAGAAGGTGCTGTGGCTGATCAAATGTGTCAAAAGTGATTTGCAAACTTTCTTGTACTGTTGACATTGTAACCAAACAATTCTTTGCTGTGGGGCTGTCTTATGCACTGGATGATGTTTAGCAGCACTCCTGGCCTCTACCCACTACAAGCCAATACCATAAGATAGCCAGCATACTCAAAATATCCAAATTGATAGTTGGATAAATGAAACCAGTTATTGATGAAAGGCACAAAAAGTGTGCCTTTTATTTTATGGAAAAAAAGTAGCAGCCTTCTTGGCCAACCCATTACTTTGAGAGACTATGTATGAGAATTGGTGCCACCAGGTGGCGGTTCCCACTCTCTCACTAGCTCAGGTCTGCAGCCATTCAAGACACCGCAAAGCAAAGGCAGCACAAAACATTTTCCCCTAAAGTCCTGTTATTCTAGCATAGTAGTCACAAACATTTTCTGTGAAAGGCCAGACAGTAGATATTTTTAGGCTTTGAATGTGGTCACAACTACTCAAGTCTGTCACTGCAGCATGAAAGCAGCCCTAAACAATAGTTAAATGAATGAGTGCGGCTGTGTTTCAATAAAACTTTATGAAAAATGAAATTTGAATTTCATATAATTTTCATATCACTAAATATTTGTATTTTTAAGTTTCTTTCCAACCATTTAAAAATGAAAGAACTGAAGACAGCTTGGCAGTTCCTTAAAAAGTTAAACATGGAGTTACGCAACAATTCCACTCCTAGGAAAATACCTAAGAGAACTCAAAACATCAACTCATCCAACAACTTGTACATAAATTTTGATAGCAGTATTACTCAGAATATTCAAAAAGTGGGAACAACCCAATGTCCATCAACTGATGAGTGGATAAGCAAACTTACCCATGTAAAAGAATAGTATTGGTTATGTGGTATATCCATATAAAAGAATATTTGACCATAAAAAGGAATGAAGTACTGACACATGCTCTAACATGGATGAAACTTGAAACATAATTAACTGAAAGAAGCTAGACATAAAAGGCCATACATTATCTGATCCCACTATATAAAATATCCACAACAGGCAAGCCAATAGGAACAGAAAAACTGACAGTGACCAGGAGCTGTGGGGAGGAAGCAATGATGAATGACTGTGAATGAGTGTGGAGTCTCTTTCCAGGTAATAAAAATACTCTGGAATTTGTGCTCATGGTTGCACTACCTTGTAAACATACTAAAATAACTCAATTGTACACTTTACAGTGATAAATTTTATAGTATATGAATTAAATCTCAGTTTTTAAATTGTAGAAGATTTAGCTCATGAGCCACACAAAAACAGTGCAGCTGGATGTGGCCTGGGAATTATAGGTTGCCAACCCTGTTCTAGCACCTAACAGAGAAGATGGCTTTGGGAGGTACACACACACACACTCGACAAATTAGAATATAGTCAAAGGCAAAAACCTGAAAGAAGCTGAATAAGGAAAGTCAAATAACCACTGAATACAAAGAGCTCCTCTTCTGAAAATGGACAAAATAAAACAGACTGGTGGTGTAAAGAACAGTATTATAAAGCAGGACTTTTAAATACCAATCCTCATTTTGTCATGCCAAAAATCCTTTTAAATTTAAATTAATCCAATTTAAAAATGCATTTACTGGCACATTACCTGGAGACACTAGCTGTATTAATTCAAACCTGGTTAGAAAGCCTGAAAAAGAAAAAATGAGATTTTAATACTTTGGAAAATTGCCAGTTTTTTCATTAATTGCTATGTTTAAAATTGTCATAACATCCCATTTAATTCCCATTTGAACAACACCATAGTTAGGGACGCCTAACCATGTCTGCATTCTCAGCAGTGGAATTAAATGGGACTTAAATGTAATAATAATGTAATAGTTATTACTTTAGTAATAATAAATGCCATAACAATAACTAAGGTATTTTTAGACTCAGTAAATCATGGGCAATCGAGGACAATAACTGAGTTATAAAAGCAGCATTTCACCCCCTGAAAAGTACTGACAAAATAAATGCAATATTTTTCTCTCTTAAAAATATATTCATAAATCACCTATATAACAATAAACATTTCGTTTTAAAAATTCAAAATACAAATGTTATCCATTAACCTATAAAATTTATCTTGATTAAAATAGATGTTATATGACTGTATAAGGGAGACATAAAATTAACATTGTTTATATTTCCTGAGTTCAAAATATATTTAGAAATAGTGAGCCCATGTACAATGTTTACAAGGATGAGAATACAATTCAAATTTTAAAAAGTAATTTAAAATATAAATGGTAGAACAATAAAAAATCAATAAATATAATTCCCACAAAATATTAAAAGTGAAAACACTTAAAATACACAACAATAATAATTGTGGTTAAAAACAGTGTGTTATAGACAGTTGACCCTTGAATAACATTGGTTTGAACTGCACGAGTCCACTTGCACGTGGATTTTTTCAATAAATACAGCCAGCCTTTTACAGCTAGAGGTTTGCATCCGTGGATTCAACCAACCGTGGGTGAAAAAGTTATTTTTGCATTCCCAACTGCAACCACAGATTGAAATACTCGGATGCAAAGGGTTGAGTCAAAAGTTACGCTTGGATTTTCCACTCCGTGGGGGGTGGGTACCCCAAACTACGGTGTTAGTCAAGGATGAATTGTATCTTAAAGTTGCCAAGAGGGCAAGCCTTACGTGTTCTCACCACAAGAAAAGAAATGATAATTGTGTGAGGGGATGGACGTGTTGGCTGACACTGTAGTGGTCATCGCTTTGTAATATGTAACTGAACAAATCAATATGCTGCACACCTTAAACTCATACAACGTCATATGTCAGTTACACCTCACAAAAACTGGAAAAAGACACAGTGAAAGTAAAATTCTCTCTGTAAACTAATGAAAAACATATGAATGCACGAGAACAGAATTTTAAATGCCAAAAATACTTAAAAGCCAAGACTGCCCATAATTTAGGTTTTCCAAGTGGGAGGAGGCAGTATATCCTTCCCAACCATCACCTCGACAGTAATGTTAAACACTTAATTTGTCTCAGGCTCTAAACTCCTTACAGTCAATTAATTCTCACCACCTCCCATGTTTATGGATTAGATGATTTAATATTGTTAAGATGGCAATATTCCCCAAAAGGATCTACAGGTCCTATCAACATCCTAGCTGGCTGGCTTCTTTGCAGAAATTAATAAACTGATCCTAAAGTGGAAAACCATGGGAACCCAAATAGCAAAAACAATCATGAAAAAGGACTAAATTTCAGGATTTACACTTCCTGATTTCAAAACTTACTACAAAGCTTCAGTGATCAAAAATGTGTGGTATTGGCATAATGATAGGAATATGGTTCAATGAGATAGAATTGAGGGCCCCAAAATAAACCCTCACATTTATAGTCATTCATTTTTGACAAAGGTTGAAATTCAACAAAGGACTATTCAATGGGTGAAAAAATACTCAATACTCTGATCAATAAATAGAGCTGAGACAACTGGATATCGAGATGCAAAAAAATGAAGTTGGGCCCCTACCTCATGCAATTTACAAAAATCAACTCACTATGTCTGAGTATGTCTGTTACAAATGTAACAGTATGTCTGTTACGTTTAGGTCTGATAGATCTAAATGTAACACTTAAAACTATGAAACTCTTAGAAGAAACATAGACTAAATCTTTGTTACTTGACTCAGACTCTAGGTATATACCCAAGAGAAATGAAAACATACATCCAGAAAACAACTTGTACACAAATACTCATAGCAGTATCATTCATTATATCCCCAAAATGAAAACAACCCAAATGTCCACCAACTGATGAATGGATAAACAATATGTGACATATCCATACAATAGAACATTATTTGGCCATAAAAAGAAATGAAGTACTGACACCTGCTATCTCGAAAACATCATGCTAAATAAAAGAAACCAGTCACAAAGGATCACATATTATATAATTCCATTTATGTGAAATATCCAGAATAAGCAAATCTAGAGATGTAAAGGTTAATTAGTAGTTGCCTAGAGCTGGGAAAGAGGAGGAAGAATGCATATAGGGTTTCTTCCTGCAGTAATGAAGATGTCCTAAAATTGATATGGTGATAGCTACACCAGCTCTGTGAATATACAAAAACCATTTAATTGTAAAAAAATAAACAAACAGAATTTTATTTTCTGGTATATTCCATCTTTATCTAGGAAAGTGTAATCGAATCCAAAACATGACTCAAATTTTACAGATTCTCTTTAATATAAATCTAGATCAAATATGTAAGTATCACAACTTAAAAAATAGTAGAATTTTATATCTGTGAATTACAGACACACAACAGTATCCCCACATCCCTCTATCTCATACCTACTTTCTAAAATGTCTGCTACAGCTCCAGGATCTATTGCGTTTTCGAATAACTGCAGAAAAAAATGTGGAAAATAAATTTTCAAAGTTTTCTTAATATATACTTATAGAAATTATAGATTACATTCTTCCAAATAATTAACACATATCAAATCCAGCCATATAATAGTTTAGAATTTAACAGAAATATCTTATCAGTAAATGAATGGATCAAAAAACTATGGTACATTTACACAATGGAATTCTATGTAGCAGAAAGAAAGAAGGAGCTCCTACCCTTTGCAACAGCATGGATGGAGCTGGAAAGCATTATGCTAAGCGAAACAAGCCAGGCAGTGAAAGACAAATACTATATGATCTCACCTTTAACAGGAACCTAAACAACAAAACAAAAAAAACAAGCAAAATATAACCAAAGACACTGAAATAGGGGACAGACTGACAGTGACCAGAGGGGAAAGAAGAGGGAATTTCAGGGGAGAATAGGAAGGATTTACAGAAACAAATTTAAAGGACACATGGTCAAAAGCTAGGGGGAGGGTGGTAATGGGAGGGAAGTGGGGAGGACTGGGTGGGTGGGCTGGAATGGGAGTAAAAGGGAGAAAACTGTACTTGAACAATGATTAAAATAAAATTTAAAAAAAGAAAAAAAAGAAATATCTTTAACAAATATGTGGTTAAAAGTTCAACAAATGACTACAAAATAAATGAATGAGAATTAGCGAAACAATACCAGGTGCAAGGAAAATCTAAGCTGAATCTACCACACCCTCAAAATGTCATCAACTTGACATAGCCCTACTGTTTATTGCTAAAAGCACATGTGGCATCAACCTCAAAGAGCCTTGAGTATGGTGCCCTGCCCAGATAGTTCAGTTGGTTAGAGCATAGTCTAAATACACCAAGGTTGCGGGCTTGATCACTGGTCAGAGTACATACAAAAATCAAGAAGCAACCAATGAATGCATAAATAAGTGGAACAACAAATCAATGTTTCTCTTTCTCTCTCTCCCTCCCTCCCCCTTTCTCTCTCTCTCTAAAATCAATAAATAATTTTTTAAAAGATTCTTGAATACCTAAAAAAAACACATTCTGGAATGGTGGGGGGAAAATGGAGACAATTGTACTTGAAAAATAATTTTAAAATGTGAAAAAAATAAAGAAAAACACATTCTGAATATCACAGATATTCATGAAATGTTAACTAAATGAATGACTTTTCTTGCCAAGTAATAGGTTGTGTTAAAAAGAAACAAATAAAAATTCTATCTATGTGTAACACACACAAAAACAGCTAAGTGCTAGTAACCACACTCTCACAAAATTAAATAACTAGAGAGAGGGAGAGACTCATTAAGTGTATTATGAAGCACAAGAAAACCACTACGATCTATGTCTAGCTATTGCCAAATCTGCATATTTTGTCCTTGAGATAAAAAGGGCCTGGAATAAGACTGAAATAAAAGATGTACCACATCCCTTTCCCTGAACTCTAGAACCCTGTGAAAATAAACCAAAATGTTTTCAGTGGAGTTTGATTTTAGGCACTAAAGTTCTGATTTAAATAGTGTTTAAACTTAAGCACGGTTAAAATCTGTTCTTAACCCAAAGTCGGGCCTATTTTAACTATAAAAATGTGGCTGTCCCTGTTTTTTTATCTTACTGACTTGGATTTATCAAGCTAATGTGGGTGATTTTTTTTCCCTAAAGTTATTTCAGTAACTACATTCTTTCACTCCATCCACATCTAAGTATGGTATCTTCTCAAGTATGATCTTTGGGAGTAAATGACCAGCATGAACTGCTCAAATACAATGGCTCATACATTCTTTAGGAGTAACTTCTTGTTTATCCAAATGCTTTAGAACATTCAATTCTGAATTACACAGAAGGTACAAGGAGAAAAGGTTTTTGCTACTTGCTGCAAGTGTTTGCATTATAGAATGGAACAGATACAACAAATGCTTGCAGCAACAGAATGGAACAGATATAACCAAAGCTGGAGCAATTGGGAAGCTGCAATACAAACACAAACAGTTCACACAAAAGGGCAATTTTCAAAATTTAAAATAAAGCATTCAAAATAAATAAATAAGCCCTGGCTGGTGGCTCAGTGGATTGAGCAGCAGCCTGTGAACCAAAAGGTCACTGGTTTGATTTCCAGTCAGGACACATGCCTGGGTTGCGGGCCAGGTCCCTGGTTGGGGGCATGTGAGAGGCAACAGATCAATGTTTCTCTCCCTCTGTTTCTCCCTCCCTTCCCCTCTCTCTGAAAAAATAAAACAAAGCATTTATGTAATTGCATTTTTTGGAGTGAAAAGTCCATGGATTGTTTGACTAGTAATCTCATATACATAGCTTTGCAGCAGAGCAGTAGTGGCATCAGGAATTTGAGTCTGAGGCTCACTCTTCTCTTCTATAAGTCAAGGAGCTTGGACTAGGTGGCTTCCAAGGTCATTTACAAATTTTTCATTCTGTGTTATGATTTTGTATTCTTTGGCTTCTTACAAAAAAAGACTTTTTAAGGCTTCTATAGAAGCAAACTTACAATTGATAAAAATAAGGATATTCTTGGGGGGAAAATAGGCCGGATTTCTACCACCCACTTTTTACCACTATCAACATCTAAATGGCAGAAGTAGGCTCCTTTTGATTCTAATTGTATATTCCCAGGTAATGTTCATTTGTTCCTCTTCTCTCTCACCCAACCAGTTTGGTAGACTTTATTTAAATTAACCCTGTAGTTTATAAAAAACACTACATAGGGCTCTAGCCCTGTAGACAATCCATCCTCATCTCCTCTGCCATTCTCAGGTCAAAATGGGTCATTTTCTGGCACCTTCATCCACACCTTTGAAAGGGATAGACTCTCCCTATATCCTTCTCATACTCATCCTCTATCCCAAAGAACAACCTCAGTGATATTGTTTGGGACAAAATCATCAGACATATCACTTTTTGAGAAATCAAATTGATTCCATCTCCAAATTTTAAAAAAATACAAATTCAAAGGATTGTGATTGTGTAGTAATAAAGTTAATATTTTATAGTGGGAAGATTAGGTCATATCTGGTGTATATGACCTAAGAAAACTCAGTAAGTCTGAGACTTCTTGTTTTGTTATAGAATTTCAGATACAGAATTTAACAAATTTGGTTATAGTCCTCTAAGGTCTGCTAGTTTATCGATTATCCCTGTCATAAATGTAATGCAACTGCCTCAAACAGCTCCAAGAACATTCAGAAAATGCTCTGTCTGCTCCAGTTAGAACATGTCATGGGAGGTCCCAGAACAGAAAACATCATCACCACTAGGGTGGCAGAACCTGGCTCAGACCTGGGCTACAAAAGCAAGTCTTCCCACTATGATTCTACACTGCACTGAGGTGCCTTCGAGCAATTTTTTAAAATGAGGTTTACAAAATAACTTTATAAGAATTGTGTTCTTTGTAAGAACCACTAAATGATCTTCAGAGAGCAAAATTTCAATTTCTCTATTTAGCAATGAAAAAGTCAAGATCACCTTTTTAAATCTCATTCTCTGCTGAATCATAATAGGGAACACAGAGGGAAAGCAGTCGGTCTCCAGGTACTGATTCAGGAGGTAAACCCCAAGGTACACATCTTGCTTGTCAGGCAGGAACACCCCTGGGCAAGAAATCTTAAAAACAAGGGGAAAAAATACAGGACAGTTTTTGCTTTGTTTTTAAACGGGATCTACTTTTCCTAACCAACCACACAATGCCAAATTTCCTCCACTACCTCAACCCTTCACAGAAACTTCCGATAACATTCTTCCCTCTCCTCTCCTTCTTCCAACTGGAATTCCAATTGCAACCCACGTCTCCGCCAGGTGTCACAATCGTCCTCTCGCTCTTCCCTCTCCCCGCCCCTCCAGGATGGCAGTGCGGAAGCGGAAGAAGCTGCAGAGCTAGGAGCCTTCAGTAGGCCGGCCGGGTCCTGGGCTCCGGGCCGCCCGTCTCAATGCCGAGCCCCCGGAGGAATGTTGAGGGACGTCCGCTGGGCGCCTCTGTCTCGAGCAGCAGCAGCGGCGGCGGCGGAGGCCCTGGAAGCCCGACCCATGGCAGCGGTGGCGGCGGAAGTAGCAGCAGCAGCAGCAGGTTCGAATTCCAGTCCCTGCTCGGCAGCCGAGGGTCGGGTGCGGACCCCACCTGCACCCGGCTCCGCCAGTCCGAGAGCCCGGTGCACCGCCGCGGCTCCTTCCCGCTGGCAGGAGCCGGCCCCTCACAGGCACCACCTCCCCCCTTGCCTGAGGAGGACCGCATGGACCTGAACCCGTCCTTCCTGGGCATAGCCCTGCGCTCGTTGCTGGCCATCGACCTGTGGCTGTCCAAGAAGCTGGGGGTGTGCGCCGGAGAAAGTTCTTCCTGGGGCAGCGTGCGGCCCCTTATGAAGCTGCTGGAGATCTCCGGACATGGCATTCCCTGGCTGCTGGGCACCCTCTACTGCCTGTCCAGGAGCGACAGCTGGGCCGGGCGCGAGGTGCTGATGAACTTGCTCTTCGCTCTGCTTTTGGACCTGCTGCTGGTGGCCCTGCTCAAAGGGCTGGTCCGCAGGCGACGCCCAGCCCACAACCAGATGGACATGTTTGTCACCCTCTCGGTGGACAAGTACTCCTTCCCCTCGGGCCATGCCACCAGGGCCGCCCTGGTGTCAAGATTCATCTTGAACCACCTGGTACTGGCTATTCCACTGAGGGTGCTGGTGGTACTGTGGGCCTTCATCTTGGGCCTCTCTAGGGTCTTGCTGGGGCGACACAATGTCACCGACGTGGCTTTTGGCTTTTTAATGGGCTACATGCAGTATAGCATCGTGGACTATTGCTGGCTCTCACCGCACAATGCACCGTTGCTCTTTGCACTGTGGAACCAACAGTGACACCATCTCATTCATTACGGCACCAGGAAATCTAAAGGTTTCCACATGCAATCATGCCATCATGCTGACAGAAATCAGCAGCCATTCTGATTGTCCCTCTTAGGACATTTCAGGCTTCCTTTGTGATTTCAGGTGTCCTACCATCTTGATGGGTTGCTGGGCTGGAGCACATGCTGGCCATCACTGGTCACAGCCGTATTACAGAAAGAAAAAAAAAATCCCTCTATCATACATTCAACAATTGTTTGTATCTCCAGGAAAACTGCGAAGAAACCAAGCTGGGTGATTATTAACATTGCTGTTTTCTAAAAGTTGACATCAGAAAAATTGTGTTCTGTAGTGATCCTATACATCAATGTATCACTTGTAAATTAAACTTTGAAAAAGAAACATGATCTTCATTCTGTACATATACATGCAGATAAGCTGCATACTAATCCTAGTTCTTAGTTATTTAAGAGCCTAAGACATAGGTTTTTCTAGTTGATTCCCTGAAGATCTGTTGCCTTGGCTGGGGAGATTTCCTCTTAATCCTGACTTGGTAAACTTTTTGAATTCATGTCTCTTCCATCTTTGCAGACTGGGTAGTGAGAACAGAGATTATAGTGCATATCTTTCCTTTCCCTCTAGCTCCTCAAAAGATCTTTTAATTTATATATTTATTTCCCACTACTCTAATATTGTCTTTTAGCATTCAGAGAACAAGCCAAGAACTTAATTGAAGAAACACTTAAATATGGTCATGTCTATAATCCCCACAAAAAGGAAGGATAGGATAGCTAAGCTGCTGAAGCCGTCAGAGGAACTGAGAGGTTGCGGGTAGGCTACCCACATCCTATGCCAATGGACCAGTATGGCAAGAGATGGGGCCCTGCTGCTGTCATCTCTACTGAATAAAGAAAAATGCTCTTCTACTGAGATAATAAAATGGGAAAATAATGTGATTCTTTGCAATGCAAAAATGTAAGCTTTTTCATATATACCACAAGGATGAGCTTGTGTGTTATAGTTTTTCATGTGGAATTCTGTTTCCCTGTATACAGCACCCATTAGGTAGCAATGGTTAATTTGAAATTCATCAGAGGAGTTGGCTGCTATACCAGGCACAAGGTACAACTAACTCCTAAGGTCCATTTACACTGACCTTTACATTTAAAGCAGTTTATCTGTGGTGCCTCCCCAAAATCAAAAGGCCAAAGACCACGAAATGCAGGGTGCACCCTGCTCATTATCCTTTGATCAGGAAAGAATAATGAGAGGGTATGTGCTTTAAATGCTGCTCTACCTGAAAATGAGAACTTTTAAATTACTTATGGAACTGGTATCTTCAGATAATTTTAATGACTAGTTATTTTGAGATTTATAAATAGAATGGATTGTGGCCTTTGACCTTCATGTACAGGTGCACATAGGACTCTGGAGAATGGCTGTGACAGGTGGGCTCTGATTGGGTGGAAATACAAACTTTTCAAGTGTGAGAGGCCCATTGCAAGAGGGACAGATACTCTTCAACATAAAATCATTTGCATTCCCACAACATCCTCAACACAGACTACCTCTTCACTTGCTGAATCAGACAAACTGAAACCGAGTGGTTTGCTTTATTGTTTCATCTTAGATCCTTTCTTTACTTTAATGGCGGAAATAATTCAGGCTAGATATTTGGAAGCATGATATTTTCTCTGGCAGAGTCCAGAAGTCTAAATATTAGGGACTCAAAATTAGGCTTACTTTCTAGTTCCAGTTCATAATTCTGGAATTCCGTCTTAGTTGCTGGGGCCTAGTTTGCTGGCTTTAAAGCACAGATCAATTCATCTTAGGATGCTTTTTGGAGCCTCCTAAGTATTGTAGGGTAGAAGACTGATTTCACTATTAACTGTATACTAAGTAATGCTTTTTTAAAATTAAAATTAATAATGTTGTATGAAATGAGGTGGAAACTTGTTTAATTTTTGCCTTGATGAGGAGGAAAGCTGATTTATCATTCGAGAACTTCTTCATCCTACTGCACACTTTGAGAGCTCACAATTGATTGAGCACAGTTGCTATAGCCTGGTTTTATTTGCTGACAAATCCAGGAAATCCTGTTCTTTATTTCATAGCTGCATGTATGATGAAATCATAGCATTTGTCACTTGTATAGAGACTAACCAGATTTTCCACAGCCATAACCTTTTTGGTATTTGTGCTTGTAATCATGGCCAGGACAGAAGCCCCTATGTTTGGAGGCAAACGTACATGACAGTATGTCACTAGAGGTGGAAGAATTGGAAAATTGAAATGAAATAAGATGAATGACCAACCCCAATAAGAACAATGGAGTCACTCTGCCACAGCATCTCACTTAAGCAAGATTCAGTGGATGATTATAAAACAGTTGTAGGTTCATTTCCCTTTTGGAATTAGCAAGCCAGAGCCACCTCTAAGTGAAATAGTTTAGAAATATTTGATTGGTTCGTGGAGACGAGAAATTACCAGGAAGTGATAAGGCTTTTTGAAATAAAATTCCAACCTGGTTATTTAAAGAAGAGGGTTAAAAAATAATAAAAATTTCACAAATTTTTATCCTGGAAAAGAAAAGAAAATCCTTCTTGGACTTAATGTGGGGTTATTTTAAAAGAATAGAAATTTTCAGGATAAAGCTAAGAAACAAGTTGGCTTTAATGAGGGGAAAAAAGTAGGAAGAAGTTGAGCTGAATTAAAGGTTAGAAGTCAGGGAAGACCAGTGTAGAAAATCTTAGGGACAGATGTACGATTTGTTCCAAAAGATAACGATGTCTGTGTAGTGAGGTGGCAGAGGGTGGTGAAAACGACGTGGGGCCATTTAAGAACCTGGGGAAAGAATCTGCTTTAGGGGCAAGGAGGGGAGATTCGTCGATCTCTCTTACCGCCCGGATCTGCAGCTCCACCACCACCTCCATAGGCATCGTTCCCTGTTCCCTGTGAGGACGAAAGGACTGGAATGAAAAGATCCTTTTGTGCTGAGCCTTGGACCAATTTTTCTCAATTTAGCTCAATCCCTGGGGCAAATGTTTCAAGTAGCTTCCCCAGCCCTGACCCCCCTCCTGCCCCCATCTGTTCCCCTGTGCCCAGGTCCCTCCCACCCGGACAGGTCTCACAAGTGGAGCTGGAACAAACTAAAGCTTCCAGAAGGCGGAAGCGTCGCGTTGCCATGGACACTCAAACGCGCAACCTTCCACCATAGAACGCGATCTGCTGCGCAGGCATGCACGCCCAAGTGCTCCCCTGGGAAAACTCAGTCCGGTTGGCCTTCCAGGCTAGTGGGAGATGACCTGTTACTGAGGTGGTAGCCGGATTGCGAGATGCTAATAGCCCTCGTTTCCTTTACACCAAATGTTTACAGTGTCCATGTAAAAATAGAATGTGATGATAGATAGCTCCACTGCAATTGAAGTGTTACCCATTTTTAGTAGCTGTACGATCCGTCCCCCGCCCCACCCCGCCACCCCATACACACATCCGCAAGCCCTGGAATTGCTATAACAATTGCAATTACTGTAGTCGACTGTCCCTAAAGGTACTACTCTCCTCCTTACGAAATGTTATGTCCTCATGTTTGGTTTGGAAAATATAGCCGCTGTCAACAAAAAACTAAACATGTGCTGTTTAAATATGGAAGGGTAATTGTTAAAGAGGTTAAAAAGTTAGGTATCCCGCTTAAGCCACAGTAGAAATTGTCAGCTCTCTTTTTGGAGTTTCGTTAACCTAAGACAAGCAATGAATTACATTATCTCCCAATGGGTAATTACTTGTTGTTGCCAGGGTTACACTGCAAAAACTGCCACAGGTGGCAAGCAGGGCAAGAGTTCTTAATGCGTAGGGAAAAAATTGCTTTTTTCTTTTTCCCCATTCGATGTATTTAACAAATAAAAGTGAAGGAGGGGAGGAGGGAGTTGCTGCTTCTATCCAATCAGAAAAATCTGGTAGGGCCAATGCTGACTTCTAAAAATATTTGTGATGAGTCATGTATTACTAATATTGTAATAAAACATCAAAGTGAGAGATTTGGAGAGTATTAGAGATTTATGCAATTGCAAAATGCAAGTGAAGAAAGATGTCCTGAGACAAAAATTAGGTATTCATTTGGTAGTTGGAGGTCTTTTCCCTGGAAGGGATAAACTGATATGATGAAGGAGGAAATATTGTGTCCTTATCCAGTCCTTGGTTCTCTGTCTGCAAATGAAGAGATACACAAGTGGGTGCTTGGCTCCCTACAGTATCCAGAGCACCGATGTGTCAGCTCAGAACAGCTTGCTGGCACCCAGACTAGTACAATGATATATGAGAATAGACCTGTGCTAACTCTTACAAGTGAGTCACCAACACCAACGTAAGACATCAAGAAGAGTGACAGTCAAAACAATGAATAAATAAGGGGTCAGAGACATAATGGGAGAAATCAATCTTTACTGAGAACCTGAGAAGTGCTAGGCACACTGCATATGCTAATTCATTTTATCCCCACAATAACTCTTTGAGGAAGGCGTTATTATCCCTATTTTACAGAGACAGAATCTGTAGGATAAAGCCAGAAAACCTTTTGCACAAGGCCACATAGCTAAATGGAAGCTGTCAGGCTTGAATCCAAGTGCACATGCCATATTACTGACCCTGTAACATAAACATCCTAGAGATGCCATGTCCCATGCTATACTCTTCCCAGACTTAACTGAACTCTCCCAGACTTAACTGAACTCTCCCGGACATAACTGGACTCTCCTTGCTTGGCTCCTAGGACACTTCCCTCCAACTCTTTGGACCTTATTTCTTTGTCTCTGTCCGTCCTCCCCTACCTGCCTAAGCAATGTTTCTAGGTCCTTTTCTTTCCTCACAATACCCTTTATCTAGTGTGTCATCCACTGTATGTGCAAATTAGCATAGGTACACAGATTTACATATCCCACCCACACCACTCTCCCTGACAAGGTGGAATCTCACGATTAAAAGCACACACACACACACAAACACATATACACATATGTATATGCATATATAAACATATATAAATTTAAATTACTTGAAACTAAATTAAATTTAAAATTTACTCACATTAGTCACATTTAAAGTGTTCATTCAATAGCTACATTAGTTACAATAGCTTCAATAGTTACAAAAATGAAACTGTAACCAAAATTTTAAAATAAAGTTTAAAAAATAGCTACATGTGGCTAGTGGCTACTGTATTGGATAGTGCAAGTAGATTTCCATCATCACAGAAACTTCTACTGAGCAGTGCTTCTCTAGAGCTAACTTCACTGAAAGGAAATCTGGGGGATAAAGAAACATGGTAGTGACACCTCAAGGAAGCAAACACGTCTAGAATGTGGAGCATTTTATAGGACAACTGATCCAATTAGTCTGCAACAAGTCAATAACATTGAAAAACAAAGGAAGCAGGGGAGGGGAAATGCTCCTGATGAAAAGATACCTCAGGGACCTGACAACCAAATGTAGTATGTTGACTTTGTTGGAACCCTGATTCAAACAAACCAACTTAAGTAGAATATTTGAGAGCATCAGGGAAATTTGATTATGGTTTGTGTATTAGATAATACCAAGCAATTACTATTTTTAAGTTTACATTTCAACTAGCCTGTGTTGGGGTCCAAGCATCAGTAGATTTTTTTTTATCCTCACCAAAGGACATGCTTATTGATTTTAGAGAGGGTAAGGGAGTGAGGGAGAGAAACATCAAAGTGAGAGAGAAACATCAATCAGTTGCCTTTCCTAAGTGCCCCAACTACAGACCGAAACTTCAACCTAAGCACTTGCCCTGAGTGGGAATTGAACTTGTGACCTTTTGGTCTGTGGGACAATGATCTAACCAACTTAGCCACAGCAGCCAGGGCAGCAATTAATTTTGATGGGTGTGATAATGTCCTTGTGTTTATATAAGGTGAATATTGATACTGTTTAGAGATATATATTTAGGTGTATGATAGAAATGATTTAATGTCTAAGATTTTCTTTCAAATATGGAAATGAATAGAAGAAATGGCTAAAGTAAATGTAATAGCTTGATAATTGTTGATCTGAGTGACAGATATATGGATTTTACTATAATTCTATACTTTTGCACATTTAAAAATATTCATGATAACAATTTTAAAATCTTTAACATATACTTAAGTAAGGGGAATCATAGCCTTATGTGGACCTCCTTCTGTCCTAAAATGACTCACCAAGAGGATTCTTGGTAGCATCACTGTGAAGTTCCTTTCAATACAAGCCTTATATACACTTAAAAAGAAAAATATGGCCCTGGCAAGGTAGCACAGTTGGTTGGAACATCATCTCAACATGCCAAGGTTGTGGGTTCAATCCCTGGTCAGGGCACATAAAAGAATCAACCGATGAATGAGTCAATAACTGAAACAACAAAACACTGATGTCTGTTTCTCTCTCTCTCTCTCAAATCAATAAATAAAAATTGTTTAAAGAAGAGAAAAATATGATGGCTCAATTCACCTGAAATGCAAATAAGAAAATTATTGTGGTGCGTAATACTTTACAAGTAATTCAGAGGGAAACCCACTTAAGGAAAAAAGAAGCACTGTATTACAAGAATATTGGTCTCTGCGTGAATGTCCAAAATGGGAGCTGGCAATTTTGAGTAGTATTTCTTTAACTATATATGCCCCTCTAGAATTTCCCCCAAGTATCAGAAATGCTTCCAAGAAAGGAATTAAAATTGCAATTGAACAACTTTTAACTTTAAGTTATTTGGGATCTAGGCCCACACATGGGATGTATTCTACAAAATTTACTGTAGAGTTCATGAGTCAAACATATGTTCCTCTTTAGCTTCTGCTTTGACTCACTCGCATTTGTAGGATCAACACCATACAAACCCTTCTACAAAGACTGCCCTTGGGCATTCCAGACTGCACAATATATATCCTTCCATTTTAAAGTAATTTCTGTTCGGTGAAAAACCAATTTGCTCCTTAGACTTTCAGCTGGCTACTTCTATGTCCATGGGAGTACTAGGCTAATTATAACCCAAAGCAATTTTCAAGGAATTATATTTATTATCTAATATCAGGAAGTAGAAAAGAGTATAATTTAGTTCCAAGGCTTGTAAAAAGTGTTCATTCTACCTGGGCATAGGATTAGCCCCCAAAGTCAGCAATAGCTAAAGTGAGGCTACGTCTGATGTTGTTATACCCACCCTTTTTCTCTGACCAAAATATACCTATTTCCATTCCCTTTTTATCTTATTTTGTCTTTATTTAATGCTATATCTTTTTCCTTGTTTCTACTAATTAGTTCCCTATTCATCTTTTCAGCACATATTTATTGAGTACCCACTATGTGCTAGATAGTTCTAGACAATGAAGGTACAAGGGTGAGCAAGAAACAATCTGCAATCTATGCTCTTGTGGACCTTAAAGTCTAGTGCAGGAAGAAACATAAGTGAACGGCCCTGACTGGTGTGGCTCAGAGGATTGAGTACTAGCTCTGCAAACCAAAGGGTCACTAGTTCAATTCCCAGTCAAGACACATACCTGGGTTGCAGGCTGGGTCCCCAGTTGGGGGAGTGCAAGAGGCAACTACACATCGATGTTTCTCTCCCTCTCTTTTTCCTTCCCTTCCCCTCTCTCTAAAAATAAATAAATAAATAAAATCTTTAAAAAAAAACATAAGTGGACATAAAATAATAACAGTATGATAAATGCTAAGAAGGAGATAGCCGGGGGGGGGAGATAGAAAGTTATAGGTTGGAGAGAGAATAAGAACCTAATTTAGTGCCAGTAGAGAGGTCAGCTTCTCTAAGGGTATAACAATTTGATGTAAGATCTAAAAAAGGAGAGCATGACCACTCACATGTCTTTAAAGAACAAAAAAGATAACCAGGCAAAGGGAACAACAAATGTAAAGGACCACGAGTCAGAAAAAAATTGGCATGTTTGAGGAACCAAAAGGAGGCCACTGAGCATACCAAGAGACCAGGTCAGGGGTAGAGGAGGTTAAGAGATGACACTCAAGAATTAGGCTGGCA